AAGTTATTTCCATAAAGATGTCAGGTGAAAATTACGTTCTCAACTCACAACAAAGCAGCTAATTTTCAGTGTCAGTGTAGAAATGCTGACATTTGAATTCAAGGGATTCATCCAAAAATACTGTGTTTGAGTTTTTATTGCAAATCATTTTTTCTTTAAACTAATGTTATGTTTACATGAGAAGCAAAAAACAGTACAGTAAAATCAGCCTGTAGGGCCTAAAAGTGGACATGAACATGCACAGGTAGGTGCAGTGTTGACTTCAAATTGCTGCTGGCAATGAAAGTAAGATTTGATGTGGGATAGGCTGTTCGAAAGGTCTGTAAATATTTTATTTCCTTTAAGCATACGTACAGGTAGAAACATGAGCAAAAGGTGCTTATTATGTCTCCACTCCATTTCAGGGCAGAACAGGGTGTAATTTCTAGATATTCTAATTACTGCAGAGGTGGCAGCTCCAAAATGCCACAAAGGCTGGATGTGGCTCTGGGCAGCCTGGTCTGATGGTTGGCAGGCCTGCACACACAGCAGGGGGTTGAAACTGGATGATCATTGTGGACTTTTTCAACCCAGGCTGTTCTATGATTCTGTGAAATGTTGCACCATGCTTCAAAAAATGGATCCCAGCAGGAGATCATGGGCAGCTTCATTACCTACTTCATTCTGCCACTCCCATACACACTCCAGAGCTGTGGGAAGGGGACAGCACAGGAGGCAGATATGCCAGAGTAAAGTACTTGTATAAAATTGAGTGCTTCTATTTATGTGATTCCAAATTGAAGTATCCCCTTTCACACTACGTCTGTTGCTGGTATGCCAAAAATAATCTGGCTGAAAATCAGTGCATTTAAAATGGGTTAAGGAAGTGGAATCAAGATTGTTTTAACAGTTTTTGCATCAGACTTTGCAGGTTCTTAGAGGAATATGCTAAAATTCAGTGGAATATTTAGAATGTGAAATTAATTTACAGTGCTTTTGAAGACTTTCTGAGTTACTAAAACATTTTTGATATTGGTGTAATCTACTACATTAAGTAGAATACATTAAAATGTATTTTAATGATCTTAAAATTATCTGGCTACAGTGAGAGCAGGGTTGATCTCTCCTCACTGGTGACAGGATGAGGGCAAATGGCCTCAAGTTGCACCAGGGAAGTTTAGGTTGAATATCAGGAAAAACTGGGTTGTGAAGCACTGGAATAGGCTCCCCATGTTTTTAAACACATCCTTGAATGTGTTTAAAAACCGTTTGGATGTGGTGCTCAGGGACATGATTTAGCAGAGCGTTATTGGAGTTAGGGTAGGATGGTTAGGTTGTGGTTGGACTCGATGATCTTTAAGGTCTTTTCCAACCTAGTGGTTCTATGATTCTATGAGACTTCCTCACAAACAACAATTGTAAACCAGTCAATTTTAAAGGATTATTACTTTTTTAATTCTCCAGGGAGTACATCATCATCAACGTCGTGTCCATCCTAGGAGAGAGGGGGAAACTCAGCAGTTTGGTTGAATTGTGTAGGTCTAAAATTGCAGTGGAAATCTGATCTGTCTTCAAAGTGACAGATTTTGAGTGGTTGGTACTGCCTGTGTAAAACTCTTACAAGCACCCGTACAGCAATTTAGGAAAACTAGCTGCTCTGCTTTTATGCTTCTACATTTGTCTTTCCAGATATGCAGGACTTCTGCACGCAGAATTCGCTATGGTTTCACAGTGTACAACCCCAAGGGATTTATTCTTAGAATCCAAACGTCAGTTACTTTTTGAGTTACTAAAAAATGATGCAAGCTCGTTCTCTTGGGTTTTATTTTCTAAATATTTATCATTAAGGGCATTCATACAAAGGCTGGTTTGAGCCTAGACCTTCCTATGACAGAAAGTTCTTTTGGAGAAAATCCATCTCTCTGCATTGGCTAACTTGCCCCGAGGAACTGGTTTTTTTTACTGCTCCTTACAGTTTAGGGCTAGTGGTCATAAAGCTAGAATGAGCTTTGTATACTAAATCCCATAGTTTTTACTAAGGGCAGGAAAGTATGTGTTCACAGGGCTGTGAAGCAATTGCTTAGTGCAAAAAAAACTTTGGCCCAAAAAGACCAAAAATGTCCTGTGCTGCCAACAGAATACATAGGTACTTCTTACTTAAGCTTTTTCTTCCTGGTGTTGGTTCTGTGACTTTGTAAGTCTTCTCTGTGGTCTTCAGTGAGATGATGATGCGTGTCTGAGTGTTCAGTCTTTTAGTCCAATTTGCCTGAATCTTACTGGCATTATTTCATACGGTCATTCAAAAGAAGTGTTGCAATTGCTGGAAAGGTACCAGCTCAAAAACTGGTGGGGTTTTTTTCCTCCTTAAGACACTAGCCATGCTGTTTCTGGAAGTCATATGTGTAATACATACTTTATTTTCCTACCTCTTGAATAAATGCATAATTCAAGTTCTAGAAAAGTGCGTGATGCAGCACCATTTCACATCAGTAGACACTGGATCAGGTTCCAGTAAGTCCATGTGTGTGATTAAGGTCAGAGCTACTTTGTTTAGAAAACAAAACTTTAAAAGCAGTATTTGTATTTATCACTGAGGCACATGTCACACAGTTTAATGTTTTTATGCTTACCGTTTTGATTCTGGTTAGGATTTTTTGCATATAGATGGCTTCAGGTGTCACCTGAAGGCTTTGGGCTAGAGAAAAGACATGATGCCATTACAACCATAAGCTGTCATCTCTGCTGCCTGACAGCAGGGAAGCTGCTATCTGCATGGGACTTCTGCTGGGCAATGAACATAATACCATTTCTCCCACACAGCTGTTTGGGGGCATTAGCATCTGTTTGTTATGCTTCAGTAGCAACTCCAGAATAGTTTGTATGTAAATGCACTGTGATGGGTAGAATTAAATGTTTTTAAATAGCACTTTAAAAGATTGTCTTCACACTGGCTTTATTTACTTACCTGTACTAAAGTTTGGTAATAAGGATCAAGCTTTTCATTTTTGCTAGGGGTCTGACCAAGGTCCATCAAATCAAGATCAGGCATTGTCTGCCCAGCAAGCTGCTGTCATTAACCTGACCGGAGTAGGGAATTTCATGCAACCTCAGGCCACAGGTACGTGCTTGCTGAGCCTCCCTTTGTATCTGTGTACGTTGATAAACTCACACTGAAATGAAGTTTGGTCTTTCTGATTTAAGACGATCAGAACAACCCACTATGTATTATCAGCATATGAACTGTACAAGAAATATTTCACTTTCCAAGCATGCACTTCTCTGCTTTGTTTGGCAGTTAAGTGTAATCAGTTTATTATTTTGCTGTCACATCCAATCTGAAAACAAAATACAGGAAAATTCCATGCCAGACTTCATTGAGGAATGCTCAACTGTGTGCTGAACCTCTAGTATAATAAATCTTTGTGTCTCCACAAGCACTTCATAATCTAATTATGTTCTAACTAACCAAGTATGTATATCACGTATATTTTATTCTGTACTGTTTCCAGTTTTACTCAGACTAATTCTGTGACTCTCCTTTTCTGTTACGTTCTTCCTATGCCTTCCTTTCCCTACCCTGATAAACTTGACCTGACCTCTTTGACCTGCCTGCTTTCCCCTTCTCCTTTCTTAGTGTTGTCTCAGCTTGGCTCTGCCATGAACAGACCTGGGCAAAGCCTTCCTCAGCAGAGACTCCAGCTCTCTTCTGCCTTACAACAGCAACAACAACAAGCCTTGCAGCAGCAGCAGCAACAGATACAAGTAATCCAGCAACTTCACTCCGTTTAAAAAAAGAACACAGTAATACAGTTCTTAGCTCCAAATTCGAAAATCTTGTTTTCTGTTTTTTTTTAAACTGTCATATGGTCTTACAAAGAAACAAACCTCTGACTTTTGGCAAATGATTGTGATAAGACTTGAAATCTGTGATTCTCTCAGCTTGGAGCACTGAATTTATTTTTATTCATTTAAGCCATCCACCTTCCCAATTTGGTAACATTCAAGGAGTGCTTGTGGCACATTACTAAATAAACTGCCAGGTGCCATTAGGATTCCAAAACAACAAAACTGTAAGCACCTGCAAGTTCAAATGTAGTGCAGCTACAGGCAGCATGCAGAAACAGCTCTGGCAAAGCATTCCTTCAGCATCGTCTTTCATGTGGTCGATGAAAATATTAAAATACTTCTGCAGAGTCTCCTTGTGAGGTACATAGAAAATAATACATGCGTGGAAAATGCATCATGCTAAAAGAGCGTCACCAAATGTTTCCTGAAGTTGCTGAGTTACTGCAATGGACAGAAAGGGCGAAGAAGTAGCTGTTAGAGAATGTGTGCAAAACACGAGACGCCCTCAGGCTTCTGTGCCACTGGTGCTGCTTGACTGTACTCATTGCCCCCCTGCACATGATATGTTTCTTTTGTTCACCTAGCACTTCCATTTTTGTTTCCCCCACCACCACCACCTTACTGTCGTTCTTTCTGACGTGAGCCATAGTTTTGTAGCTAACACTAACAAGCTTTTTCTCCTCCTCCTTTGTGGCAGCAGTTGCGATTCTTGCAGCATCAAATGGCTATGGCAGCAGCAGCAGCAGCACAAGCAGCTCATCTACGACATCAGCAGCATTCAGGCAGCCACTCAAAAAGTAAAAGGAAAAGAGGCACACCTGCCCCTCCAAAATCCTGAGACTTTCTCTTTTTTTTTTCCTTAGTATAAAAATGATTTAAAGGCGTGGGTTGTTTTTTTTTTTCCCTGTTTAAAAAGGATAAAGCTTAAAAACAAATCAGTATTTTATAGTGTTGTTGGGAAGCTGAACTTTTGACATGACACTGAAAAAAGATGAACTCCTTGGAAGCCATTCCTACGTAATGTAATGACTTCATCAATAAAGCAGCTGGGGTCTGGCTTCCGTAAGTCACTTAATTTTTTAACAGAATGTTTTATCTTGTATTTTTTACCATTCAGCAGCATTGTACATAGTAAAAGGGTGAAAAACGTTTTAGAAGAAAATGAACTTTGTAAATGTAGTATTAGTATTTGTTTATTTAGTATAAAAAGGTTTGTGAACACCGTAACAAATACAATTTTTATAAATCCACTTTTGAAAAGATCTTTTTGTTCACTTGGGCTTTATACTTTTTATTACTTTGTCTATCAGCTTCTTTACTTCTTTGTGTCTCGTAATGGCTCTGCTGATACAGTCCTGAAGCTTGGCTCCTGTCAGAGGACTTCCACCTAAGAATTGGGAGGAAAAAAAAGGAAAATGGTTTTCCAGTTGTACTTCAGTTACGTATCCCTAATTGTATTTTCCAAATCAAAGTATTGATACAGTAATTCTCCCAAGCAGCAGTTTTCACCTGGGAAGTTATACAGCTTCCCCAGCTATAACCTCAAGCACAGGAAAGAAACATTAGGGCTAAAATGCAGACATGCTCAAAATCTGCCTTTTGCTATACAAAGGACCAGTTATGACTTTTTAACAGTCATGCTGCCTCCTTCAAGATGGATTTTAACAGTAAGTGGTTTAATCAGTACTTAAGCAATCTGTCATCATAAAGGGCCCACATTTTACAAAGAAATGCAGGTACATAACATATAGGTCAAGAAAAGACCATCCTCTTCCTTAGCTCTTGTGTGGTAAGCATGGAAGTACCTGGTTTGTGGACAGAACAAAGTCTGTCATCTTCATCTGTGACAACAGTCACTGTTCCAGTTGCTAAGTCTTCTTCTTCAGCAGTTGGGTCCACAATGAGTAATGTGCTTTTGAAAGAGAAACATATGCAGCCATTAGTTTGTGATGTACCATAAATATCACCAAGTTATCAGATGTGATTACCCTGAACTCTCAGATTCCCTACCTACAGAAACAAGGACGTAGGAGTGCTGGTCATATTTCAAGTTGGGTAAATATGTTTCCATTATCAAGAGATTTTATTCTAACTGGACCGATATTTTTTATTTCCTCTGTTGACAAATACTTGATATAAGCTGTTCAAAAATTACCATCTTTTATATCAGTTATGTATACACACTTTTAAAAGATTATCTGTTCTTAGCATTCTTTTGTCTCAAAAATACTGCATAAACACACAATACCTATTCCAGAAACTTCAATCCTAGACTACTTTTCAAGCTTGTCTTAGGCAGGGGAAACCATTCTGCTTTAAGTCACAGGAAGAAGTTGGACAGACTTTGTTTCATTCTGCTGCATACTCTTTCATAACAGAACTACAGATCAGCAGGACAGGCCTTGGTAGCAAGGGCAAGAGGAACAGGCCTTCACTAGGTTCTTCACTAGAAGTGGATGAGACATGCAGAATTGTCATCCTAAGCACCTTCTGGTTTTCGCTACTTCTTTTAAGACAGAGCTGTTGGAGAGGGTCCAGAGGAAGGCCACAAAGGTAATAGGGGACTGGAGCACCTCCCCTGTGAAGACAGGCTGAAGGAGCTGGGCTTGTTCAGCCTGGAGAAAAGAAGGCTGCAGGGTAACTGACAAACAGGAGAGGAATCAACTCTTTGAAAGGGCAGATAACAGCAGAACAAGGGGAAATGGTTTTAAGTTGAGGGAGGGAGGATTTAGGTTGGATTTCAGGGGGAAGTTCTTTACAGAACGGTGAGGTGCTGGAACAGGCTGCCCAGAGAGGTTGCGGATGCCCCATCCCTGGAAGTGTTCAAGGCCAGATTGGATGGGGCCCTGGGCAGCCTGGTCTAGCATTAGATGGGGAGATTGGTGGCCCTGCACGTGGGCTGGAGATTCAAGATCCTTGAGGTCCCTTCCAACCCTGGCCATTCTGTGGTTCTGTGATTTTACACACTCAGCAGTTTTTTAAGTACAAAACAGTTACAGACTTACTCATCAAATATAGCAAACGACGTGGCAACTGGATGCTTTCTGATAACCAAGGGATTCTTCTGCTTGAAATCAACTTCGGACAAACCAGTTTCTTCATTTATAGTCACAGACGGCAGCTGCACTGAAGAAACGAAAGCACTGCATTGGTACGATATTAAGCATTGCTGTTCTCAGTAGGCACAGAGATATCCAAGGCTATTGAAACAGTTCAGCTGTTCTACTACCATATTGATAAGCCACTGAAAACAGATGAGAATAGAGTCGTGGCTACATTACTGGTGCTCCTGTACACAGCATTTTTTAAATTCAAGGAAAGTGTTTAACTTAGAAGTACCTGTTCAAGTAAGTATATAACATTCTTCCTTACACAGAAGCATTTTCTGCTTCCAAAATACCATACACTTACAATATCTTTAACAAAACGCATTTTTCCCACCCAAAAAGCCTACAGGACATATAGATGTTTCATAAATCTAGAAAAAAAACAAAATCTGATCATCAGATAACTCTTTGTCAACCCATACAGTATTGGAGACAGGGAAATCAAGAGCAAAGTAGCCACGGGAATTTAAAGGCATGCAGGTCACACTAAGAAAGGAAGCCTTACTGTAAGCTTCTCCTTAAGCTTTCCTACATGTGTGTTTAACCCACATCTTGTGGAGATCGATCAATGTATTGCATGCATAAAAACACTTATTTCAGACTACAATACATTAAGAGCCTGGAATATTCTGTTCTGCCAAACAAGAAAGCCCCCAACTTATTCTGCCTACACAAGATCAATAAGCAAGGGAAGATGAACAAGGTAAGATATTTAAGTTAGTGGCCATTTCTGCCAGCAGCAGTAGTCAGTGTGTTTTACGCCACAAAAGACTTACCATTTTTCAGTGCTGCTAACAAAGCAAAGGTACTGGCATCCAAGATGTTCCCATCGTAGTCCAGACATATGATATCACAGTATAACACCCAAGCAAGCTACCAAAAAAGGTTTGCACATGTGATGTATTACAGCAGCTAAATAAATAGTGCAATATCTAAGCAAACACGGGCCACATGAATAAATATACTTATTTCTCACATGAGAAAGAAATTTTTACACTTCAAACATAAATAAATCTATGCTGACTAAAAAACAAACTCAACAAAATCTATAACCCCCCCCTTATTTTCTTTAAAATTGTAACACTCTGATCTTGCTACTATGACCCTCTTCATTTGGAGACAGAACTTACCTTGCCATCAGCAATACACAGATCTTCTTTTGCTATTATCTGTGAACTAAAATAAAATGAGTGTAAACCAGGGAACAGAAACCCATCCCGCAGTTTTTTTGCATTTTACATGCAGCACAATGGCTCTTACTTTTCAATCACATCTGCAATGAACTGGCTTGCTGCTTGAGCCTCTTCACCAGGAGGTCCGGAGCGAAACCTCGTTGAGCAGAGAGATGGCAATTCTACATTTGGAACTGGGGAGCAAAGGTTGTTAGTTATAAACTAATGGGAACTCAGAAATAGAAATAGGACAATATGTACTTCTAATACCACTTTATATACTTGAAACAAAAGGTAAAACCAAGACTTTTTCAATCAAGCCTTTCTACCTCTCCCCTCAAAAAAGAAATCCAATGTGACTTTGTAGTAAAGGACTTCTACAAGTCTGTAGTTGGAAATACATATTCCACTGGAAAGCCAACACTGATATGTAGCATTTTCCATTTGTATTCCTGCTATGAATATCATGACCACATACAAACTCTTCCATAAGTGTTCTTCATAAGTGTTCATAAGTGTTTGTAAACATTCTTGGTTAAATCATGAAACAACACCACATTCATCCCACTGCCTGGCTTTACTGGTACGCTCTCTGCTCTTCTTCAACTGTCAAAACTTGATGCTTTCAACTGAAAGCAAAAACATGCATAAACATTCATGGGGGGTAGAAGAAAATCTGAGACCAGTATCAAGTTCACTGCAAACAATATATTTTGCAGAAGATCTCAGTTCCACTGAGTTAAAAATCACACAGGAATGCAGATGTACTTCAATTTCTACAGTTCCCTGAGAAATAAGTAGATTTTAGTTCACTCTTTTCACAAAAAGCATTTTTTGTCTGTTCAGACTTCAATAAAGATGCACAGCCTTTCACAGCGCTGTATTTCAGAGATGAACTACCTTCCTCCTCCTAACATACACACTTACCCCTCAGAGGAGGTTTATTTTCAACCTGGGCTGGAACCAGGAATGAAAAAGAACATCTTTGCATGGAAAACTCACAGCAGAGCAGGGAAGTTCTGAAATTTCTGAAGCACCACTACCTGAATGCCAATTTGGAAACTGATTTCAAGGAAGATAATACAGTGCTAACCATTTTCTTTCTTTTAAGAGGCCTTCACAGCACACTCAACCTGTCCCATGATTACAGCCCTTTAGCTGAAGGGAAAAGATCTGCATAAGAACAATACCAAAAATCTTACCAATATATCCCTTATTAGCAGAATCTACTGCAGGTGCAGCAAGCTCCTGGAATAAAAAAGGTAAAAATGAAGAGCTGAGTTCTGTTCAAAATGATTTTCCTGCTATTTCGTTTATGAAGTATCATTTTCTTGCCAGTTACTATTACAGTTAGAGTTAAAAGAGCTATTTTTAATGAGTTGATTGCAAGTTAATAGATAGCAAACTGTCTCTACTTTATCTATGGGACAACTTCTTGCTGCAGGGGTGTGAAGTGATTTGTCTCACGGTTCATGGCAGGCCACCAGAGCTGAGCTAACAAGGCACTCAACAGCTCAGCCAGCTCTTCACCAACCCACTTATGGATCAATCTGAAGGAACTCATCAATTACTCTGTTTGTTATTTCTGGAGAAAAGCTCTTACATCCTTGTGCACATCCTCCCCTACGCACAGCACACATCACAGACACACACATTCTCTGAATGTACAAGTTGCACTGGACAACTAAATAATTCAAGTGAAAGACTGTAATTCTGTCTGACTGGTATCTTATTGGTATCTTATTTGTGGGAGAGGCATTCTACAAATGAATGTACAAACTCAGCTAACAGACAGGTTAAAATCAAAACCAACCATACCGCTTTCACTCCACAAATTACTGTAGTATTTCCCAACTTCACCAAGGCAGAACCATCTGCAGTTGTAATTGAACCTGAAGAGAGAAAGTGCTGTTTAGTAAAATCTGTTCTCTTTCATCCTTAACATCCTTAACACCCACCTTTACAGTGTTTATTCTCCATTATTCTAAACCAGTCTCAGCAAAGTCTTGATGACCCAAGATGGGAGCTGAGCTTCCCTTTCTAGCAAACAGTCAAAATACTGGATTACTAGCAATCCTAAAATTGAAGCTGAGAATCGCTGAATCCATTACCCAAAATGTATTTCTACTGTTTTCCCCCAGAATGTTACCAAATAAGTCCGCTTCATTATCTTGATCCAGCTTTCCCATGATCACCATATTATTTTTGGCTCATTAATACAAATCTGAACTAAAAATATCCCTTAAATTAAAAGCACTCAGTGTTCTACTACAAGAAAATGCTATCACACAAAGCAAAAAACCCAGCTACTAGTGGGAAACTTACAAACTACTAATCAAGGATGGCAATGACAACATCACCTTCTGACTGGCTTACAGCAAGACCTCATGAAAAGGCAACATTAGACAAAGGAAAAAACCTGCAGTGTCAGTTTGAGCCATGATCAGCAGCCATTCCATGGCAGTTTAATGCTAACCTGCACAGTGCTTTTAGAAAGTGATGGCCAAGAAAGGCAGGTAAGGTCTCTGCTCACTGCCTAGAGTTATCTTGCCTCTGCTTGAGACAGTTGCTCATTAGACTTTGAATAAAACAGGAGCAGGGAGAGCCCAACTCTTTCAAGGTGACAGGCACTGACTGTTCACTGGTCAGTGCTGACACAGATGCTGCTTTCAGCATCTACAGTGTGAGCTGCTCATCTTTGAAACAGACAAGCTTCCAAGACCTCCTAAATAATGCTTTGCACACCAGCCCAGGAGAAGCACTGAATAGATGTGAGCATGCTGTTATCTTTAATGCTTGTTGGAACTACAAATAAAAATGCTCTCTTGTTTCAAAATGTGAGCACTAGGAATACTGACAAATCAAAGCAAATCATTAACGAGCTATTAAGAGATTAATACTACTCCCATTATTATTATGCATACAATCGTTAAAAGTTGGAGAAGATGACTAAGATCATCTACTCCAACTGTCAACTCATCACCACTAAGCCATGTTCCTAAATAGAACTGTAGAATCATTAAAGACATTCCAAAAAAGTACTTACCTATGTTGACAGTGGTTGCTCGGAATTCACCCAACTCCCTCCCATCAGGTCGACAGTTCTCTTTCTAAACAAAATTTACAGAGGTAATCAAGTAAACACTTGATTAAAGAACACACCAAACATAGCATATTATATCAAACAGAACAATGTGTTTATTAAAGGAAAAAATAAAGCATTGTTTTTCTTCTAGTAGGAATATAGTTACAAAATTGCTAGGGCAAGGTCAATCTTATTCCAACTTGTTTTTCTATCAGGTGATACCCAGTTTAGGCTTGTAGATCACAATTTTTTTTTTATTTAACTTATTTAGAAGATTAATATAACAGACTGACTGTCTCAAAGATAAGTACCACAGGCTAGATTCAGAAAACCACCCAGAAATGGATACTCATTGATGACTTAAAATGACAGTTTTTACCCGTCTACAGCTCCCTTACTCTCACCCAGCAGAACTCTGACAATGAAGGTCAGCGTGAATCAGACCAAACATAACACCTCTAAATACTGCCAAGTCAGACACTGTACAACAAAACCTGAATCTTAAATTTAAAGCAGCATCAATTCATTTCCATGTTAGAGCTGGACTACTATTCATCACAAGTTCAAGCTTCTCACAAATCAGAGACTTTTGGTTCAATTACAAGAACTGCAGTAATACTGTACTCATTTCCAAGTCGAGGCTGTTTCAGTAACGTGCAGATTGCATGACAGAAAGTTAGCAGATTTCCTTCACAGTTATGATGTGCAGTCAGTAGCAATATTTTCTATTAGCATTTAGCAGCATCTGACAGCCCCGCCTTTATAAAAGAGACACAAAGCCAATGAAAGTATTTACTCACCTGCAGTTAAATAGGAACACAACCTGTGGTGGTACCAATGCCACAAGCAGGAGAAAAAACAACTTCTGAAAGATTTATGACCATTTTTCCCCAATTTGACAAGGTTTATGCTTTTCCCTCACAGCTTCAGGTTTCCACATGGACAAGAAAGACACTGAGGCCAGAGAAGGGCAACAAAGCTATGAAGGGTTGGAGCACAAGTCTGGTGGGGTGCAGCTGAAGCAGCTGGGATTGTTCAGTATGGAAAGAGAAGGCTCAGGGGAGACCTTATCGCTCCCCACAGCTGCCTGAAAGGAGGTTGTGGCGAGGTGGGGGTCAGCATCTTCTTATGGATAGCAGTGATAGGATGAGAAGGGATGGCCTTACACTGTTCCAGAGGAGGTTCAGGTTGGGTAGCAGGAAATCTTTTCTCAGAGTGCTGCAGTCACCGTCCCCAGAGGTGCTCAAGAAATGCACGGAGACATTCAGGGCACTGAGGGAGGTGGCGCAGTGGGCAGCGTTGGTGGCAGGTGGGCAGTTGGACTGGATGACCTTAGAGGTCTTCCTAACCTTAATGACTGTATGATTCCAAGTTTAAAAACCGTATGCACGCAAAAGAAAGCTGCAAACATCGAGGTATGCACGCACACCATCTTTTACTCACCAAAAATCTCCTGTAATATTCCAGCGGTTCCACTGTTCTAAAACAGACAGAAAAGGGGGGGGTTCACGTGCAAGCTCCCACCGAGAGCACAGGAGGGAAAAGCGAGCTGGGAGCCTTCGGCAACGCAGCACCTGAGAGCGAAAGCGGGCAGCGAAACCGCTCAGCAGCGCGGTCCCTGAAGGACCCGGGAGCTCCCGGTCCCACGGAGCGCTACTGCTTTTAACGCAGCCACCCACGGACCCTCGCGAAGCCCCGTCACCGAGTAACCCCGCAACGGCGGCTTCCAGACGAGAAGCCCCGCCCTCGCCACGTCGCATCCCCAAAGCGGCGCGGCCCGAACGGACCCGCTCCCTTACGGCGCGGGGATCGCAGGGGCCGCGGCGCCCCAACTCACTTGAAAGCCGTCGCCATGGCGGCACCGCCGTCCTTTGCGGCCGCAGTTCCGGACCTGCGCAGCGGCCCGGCCCGGAAGCCCGAGCTGGCGGCACGGTACGGCGGGGCGGGGAAACGGCGGCTTCCGCATCGCTGGAGCAGCGGCTCCTTGCCGCCCCCCCGGGTATGGCGTTGCCGCTGCCCCTGTCCCTGCCCGAGCTCGGCGCGGTGCTGGCGGTCCTGGCCGCCCTCCTCCTGCTCCTGGTGAGAGCTGTGGGCATCCCGCGTGGGGGCGAGGGCCGCTCGGGGCTGGGGCTCCCGCTGGCTGGGGCTCCCGCTGGCTGGGGCTCCCGCTGGCTGTATTCGTCCGGGGTGCGTTGGAGAAAAGGGGTTCTCACCGCGCCTGTGGGAAAACCCGCCTCTGTGGCCAGGACTGGTGAACCGTGCAATGTAGTGGCAGCCACTACACGAGAGGGTTCTGGCCCTCTGTTGCAGGCTGTGCACTGGAACAGGATACCAGAGAGGTGGTGGATTCCTATTCTTGGAAGCATCCTTGCTCGGGCTGGTGCAAACTCTGAGCACCTTGACCTGGCTGGTCGTTGCAGGAGGTTGGCCTGGATTCAACCCAAGCACTCTACAGCTCAGTGATAAAATGCACTACTGTTGCTCTGTCTTGTTATGTCTTTGGTTGCCCCTTGTAGTGCATTCAGCAGTTAGATAAATCTTTAACAGGGTGCTGGTAGGTAAACTTAGGAGGAAGTTTTTCACCCAGAGGGTGGTGACGCACTGGAACAGGTTGCCCAAGGAGGCTGTGGATGCCCCATCCCTGGAGGCATTCAAGGCCAGGCTGGATGTGGCTCTGGGCAGCCTGGTCTGGTGGTTGGCAACCCTGCACATAGCAGGGGGTTGAAACTGGATGATCATTGTGGTCCTTTTCAACCCAGGACGTTCTATGATTCTATTCTATGATTCTATAAACAGAGCTCAAAGGTTTTCTCTTCTTTTTCATTACAGGTCTGTATAATTGCTCACGTAACCGCAGTAAAAATGCCAACCCTCCACCGACACGCTGAAGAAAAATTCTTCATCTGTGCTGAAGGCAGGAAAGAACCTGTACCGAGTATCCATGACCCCCCTACAAAGGAACTCTCTGTAGTTGTGCCTTCTTACAACGAGGAAGACCGGTGTAAGATTTGTCTTGTTTTGAGGAAAAAAAAAAAAAAAAAAGTGAAGTCTGTTGTGACTGTGATAATGCAGAGGTTTTCTTTCTGGTGGTGGTAGTCTTTAATGGGCCTGTATGTAGTTTCCAGAAAACTGACCAACTAGGTTGAGTTTCAAAATTAAAACATTGTGTAATTTGATTTCTTATGCTAAAAATAGCATGGGGCACTTGTAGCAATCTGCTTTATTTTAATAAATTGCAGCAGAAGGCTGCTTACTGCCCCAGTAGTTGCTATAAGGCAAGATGCAGAAACAGACTTCTGAAATTAGAGAGCTTCCTACTCTGTAAGCAACAGCTGCAGTCTCAGACAAGCAAGGAAAAGGGTGATCTCTTGTCTCTCATTCTGCTGTTTGGTGTGGCCTTATTTATGAGGACAAAATACTAAAAAGTGAGTGCTTTCCTATCTGATAGAAATCATTAAGCTCTAGAGCTGTACTTGTTGATGTGTGGTAGCTGACGTTATTCCTGTTCTTGGTGAGTGAAAGTAGTGAGCTGTTCAGGATTCCACTGAGAGAGACATGGGCAGGAGGTACACCTGACCCTTTCACAGAGTCACAGAATGGCCAGGATTGGAAGGGACCTCAAGGATCATGAATCTCCAACCCCCCTGCCACAGGCAGGGCCACCAACCTCCCCATTCAATACTAGACCAGGCTGCCCAGGGCCCCATCCAACTTGGCCTCAAACACCTCTGGGGACAGGGCATCCACAACTTCTTTGGGCAACCTGTTCCAGTACCTCACTACTTTCATAGTAAAGAACTTGACCCTTTCTAGAGAAGAGTGCATTCCTCAGTCCTGCTTCTCCATACATACTTCCAATAAGCAAAGACTTCACATGTTCCCTGTGCTTTTCACTTAGTTATCTCTCTCTTTGGAGGCAGAATAATCACTTGAACCAAAGGCAGCCATGAGGCTGAATATTTTTCTAACATGCAGATAAATCAGTGCCTACTCTTTGGCATCATCGTGGCTAACAGCCTTAGTAAGAGAGGACATAATACTGACTGTCATTGGGAACTTCTCTTGATCTTTGTCGCTTTGCTCGAACAGGAGAAATCAGTGCTGATTTATAGGATCTGTCTTGGAGAATTTCTTTTATTTATTTATTTTTTTAGTACTTGATATCATTACCTAATTCAAAATGGAATGTTGGTTCTTATCTTTAAAAGAAATGATTTTATGTTGTCCTGCATGTATGATTTTTTTCATTGCCTTTTCTGCATTCAGAAAGGACAGGGCTTTGAATCGCAGGTCCTGAACTTGTTCACTAGTGTTGTATGGTTGAGGCAATTCACTCATGTTCCCCTTCTGGTTGTGGTCAGCTTGGTTGTGCTGATGCTTTTTGGTGCCTTTGTTGTTCAGCCTGTTATAATCTACTGATTTTTTTTTTTTTTTCCCCTCTAGTGCCTCTTATGATGGATGAAGCTTTGGATTATCTAGAAAAAAGACAGGTATTTTAATTTTGCATTCAAAAAATGCTGTCTTTCTATGTGTTATGTATAAGAAGGATGTGATCTATTAACTTTGTTATTTTGGTGTATGTCAAAGCAGTATAACAGCCTCTTGGAAGTGAAACATGTCTTATCAGTTCACTTTCTTTTGAATAGTATGCTGTAAGACTATTTTCTTTATTTAATTAAATTGAATGTGCTACTGTATGATGTATGATTTCTCCAAGACAGAGATGAGGATAAACAATACATTTAACATTCTAAACTACATATTGGTTGGTCCCAACCAGTTTTTAAACATTTGTTCTTCTTCAGGGTTGCTTATTTGAGTTAAGAAGGTGTTTGGTTTTGTTTATCTGTTTTAGCAGTAATGTTGCTTTGGGCTTTCGTGTTTTATGAATTTGATTGATTTTTCAGTTCTAAATAGTAGTTGAGGAAAAATATGGCAACCAATGTAATGGAAGAGGCATCAAATATGGCAAAATTATTTCAATAAAGTAACTATGTTAGCAGATTTACTGCATAATATTGGAGCCTGTCTGCACATGGAAATGAGCTGAAAACTGCCAGACACAAAGAATGCTGATGCTTAAAAGGCCTGCTGTGAACTTCAGAAATGGCATGCAGTGCACTATTTGTGTTCTTCTTTTTAAGAAACGAGACCCTTCCTTCACTTATGAAGTAATAGTGGTTGATGATGGTAGTAAAGATCGGACCACAGAGGTAAGGAAACAATCAGAGGTATGAGTTTTGATATTGCAGTTGTGAAATATAATAATGATGTATTTTGGCACTTGAAGTAATTGATTCAAATTCATATTTCTGAACGTTTTCTGTTATGGTCCTACATGCAGTATGAATATCACATATACATAAACATACACATATAATTATTTTTCAAATGCTTATTACTCTTAATTGTCTTTCCTGCAGCTGGAACTCTAGAAGTTCTAATCCTAGCTTCAGTTAACAGCTTCTAACGTATTCTTCACCTGCAAAGTGATGTGCATGTGATCTTGAGGAAGCACAAGACGCCTTTTAAAGTACCTGGTTCATGCTGTGATTGACAGGAGAGCTGACATTTTGTCTGTCTCTTTGCCTTATCTTTCATGATGTTGTTCATTTAAAAACCCCAATGGCAGTAGAAGTGTTTCCCACCCAGTTCTGTGTTCTTGTGCTTCGATGAATGTTGACTTGCAACAACTCTTAGAGAAGATGAGAGGGAAAAGCTCATGCTTTCTTTCCCCCGTAGCATGGAACAAAACCTGCACATCTCTGCAGTGTGAATGGGATTTTACATCACTGAATTTTTGTTTAAGACCACAGAGAGCAGCAAGACAAGTGAGAAGTAGGTAGTAGTAGTAGAAAATTATTTTACTTTTGAATGTTTGTGTTAGTATAAAAGTCTGAAACAGTGTGCTATAAATTATATTAGGACTGGGAGTCTCCTGGTCTTCAGTGAATGGGGTTTAGAATTGCTTGGAGGAATATCCTGTGCTTCCTGAATATGAATACCTCCTTCACTCTTCTTGTGTTGACTGTGAACTACTTATTTTCCCAAACAGACTCCAGCAAACACTGGCAGTGTATTTGTTGAGACTGAAGTGATTATAGCTCTGTGCTATTAAATGAAAAAAAGGAAAGGGTGAGCAATGGTAAACTTCTACCTTGAGTCTTTTTTCTGTTTTATGCTGTTCTTTTTGTATGTCTCTCAGGTTGCAATGAAATACTGCGAGAAATACGGAAGCGACAAAGTGCGAGTGCTTTCTTTGGTAAAAAATCGAGGGAAAGGAGGAGCAGTCAGGATGGTAATTGATACTTTCATCTCCTTCTCTGTCTGAACTTCCTGTACCCAAATATGCAGGAAATACAGCCGTGCTGATACACGTTTTGAATTCAGTATAGTAACAAAATGACTCCTAGAAAGCTGAATACAAATTCCATGAACTGAAGCAAAAACTCTTTACAAAATTAACTTATTTTAGATTCTGGGAATGTAATGTTCATATTCTTGTTCTGTTCAGAAATGACTTTGCAGTGTGAGGAGAAAAAGAAAACAACAACAAAAATACCCTCACAGATTTTATAGAGGAAATACAAAGTTTGCAAGTATTGTTTTCTGGGTTGCTCATGGAGGCTGTGGATGCCCCATCCCTGGAGGCACTCAAGGCCAGGCTGGATGGGGCTCTGGGCAGCCTGGTCTGGTGGTTGGTGACACTGCACATAGCAGGAGGGTTGAAACGAGATGATCATTGTGGTCCTTTTCAACCCAGGCCATTCTATGATTCTATGATCATTCTTTTTATTTTTTTTTAAAAAAAAGCACAGTGAAGTTTGTACTTTAAGCCCACTGCTTATCACCTGTATTTCATAGTAGAAGAGGAAGAATTTGTGCTTCCACATACTAATACTTGCA